ATGCTGTTCATATAGACACGGATGCCTCAATCAGCCTCTGGCATCATGCTACTTGCGGTGGGTTACATCGAGACTCTAATGGTGACTGGATTTATGGATTCAAATAGGATTTAGTTGACATTCTGATTGTGATAGCAGAGCTACTAGCCATCAAAACGAGATTAGAAGTGTATCACCAACTTGATTTTCCCAAAGTTTATATTTATTCTAACTCCTTAGATGCCATTAGCATGATTTTAAGAGATGATTTTGCTAATCATACCTAGAGAATGGAAATCAATGTTGTTCGAGGTTTCATCTATGGTAACATTGAAGTTGAGATATACCATGCCTGGTGGGAAGTTCTCGAATATGCTAACTTTATTGCTAGGGAAAGCTACAGTACAAGGTCTATAATTAATTACTTTCATGATATTTTTGCTCAAGTAATAGCTTTACTAGGCAAAGACAATGAGAAAATTTTAGTAAGGGACCCTTGACCAAATATAATGAAAAAGAGGATCCTTGAATTTCTGAAATTTCACTGAAAGGCCTATAGGGATTTTTGTTTGAATTTTTGATAAAAATAATAAAATTGCCCTCATTTAGAACAACATAAATGACTTGTTCGTTCTCATACTATATGCTGTTCGTATACTTACGAAATGTTATTTGTTTCCCTACTTTACTTATTTATAGTCATACTTTCATTTGATTTCATTCCAAGGCTATAAATAAGTGAAGTAGGGAAACAAATAACATTTCGTAACTAAATAAACAATATACAATATGGGAATGAATAAGTCATCTTATCATGAAACTGACATTTAGAATGAAATCAAGTGAAACTAGGACTATAAATAAATGAAGTAAGGAAATGAACAAGGTTTCGTAAGTAAATGAGTAACATACAGCAGGGGAATGAATAAGTTATTTATATTATTCATTTAAATGAAGGCAAATTTTTCATCTCCGTCACAAATTCAAATGAAAATTCATACAGATCCTTCAGTGAAATTTTAAAAATTCAGAAATTCTTTTTTTATTATGTTTGATCAAATATCCCTCATTAAAATTTTTACAAAGACAACGCCTCTATTACCTAAGATGGCCATGGGTTTTTAATTTTCTCAAGCCTTAGGCTTGCCTTCTTATTCCATAAAAAAATGAAAAATGACAATTAAGGATCCCTTAAGAATATTAATCTCAATTAAGGACCATAAAATATTGAAATCTCAATTAAGGATTATGGTCTTTAATTGGAATAAAAAAATATACCTAACTTTACAGAATTGCCCTCTGCTAAACACTAAAAGATATCAGCTCTTGCTTGCATTCTATGTTCATTTTAGGTGTGAAAAATTTGCTCTCATGTGTGTAAAAAATCTAAGCAAAAAATCATAGTCTTCAGTAGAGTGGATCGTCATCTGGGTCATCATCTTCTCCCCTTCTTAGTGATAAGTAATTACATTCATTGCTTCCTTTTCATCTTCTTCCCTCCCCTGTGTGAAAAAACTAAAGTTTTAAAGTTTTCCTCTTCCCTATCTTTTATGTCTTCTTTTCTCTCTTGGGCGAAAGACAACTTTTGTATTTTTTAAATGATATTTTACATCGTTTATCTTCTATAGCTAAGAAAAAAAGATATTTTGTTGATTATTATATAGATTATATACACAATAAATGATTTCTGAAATAGATCGTGTGGACAAAAATTGAGTTAAAAAAAGATGTAATGTGGATGCTAATTTTTTTCTGTTCTATAATGAAAAGTATGTTGATGTTCAAAAATATAACATGAATGCTGAATTGTTGTAGTCATAGTTGGAATTATGGGAAGGATAGCTGTAAAGTAATAAATCATTAACATATTTTATCTTGAAAATTGTTTATGTAGAGTTGATTGTGGTATGTATGTCATCATTTACTTTAGATACTGCAACAATATTATACAAGAGGAATGATGCTATCATACCATGCCTTCATTAGTTGATTTACTCTAATTGTACAGGAATAGTTGAGTAAAATGAGATTTAAGTTATTGTATTGGCTGGTAACTCATCCACAGAATGACAGAATAGAATAGCCTCACAAGTGATGATATCTATTTCAAATATCGAGCATCGAGGAACAAAAAGATTAAATGCATAGATTAAACAACTGTGATATAGACTTTCACAAGTTATGCAACTGTGATATAGACTTTCACAAGTTATGTTTTGATTATATGTATGATGTAAATTAAAATTTTATGTACTTAAGTATTTTCTATGGCTCAATGTATATGATACAATAATTAATCCTAAATATTTTTTGCTAAATTTACAAGAAACTAGACAAATCATTGGTAAATTATCTTGATTAACGTTAATGAATTCCCAAGCCACGTTAGTGAATTTTCAAGTTATGTTAGTGAATTCCAAAGTCACGTTTGTGAATCTCAATTTAAAGAAGTCATTTTTTGTTAAATAATTATATCCCAAGTAGGGTTTTATGTTTTCACAAGATACAATACTAATATTTCCATGCCACATTAGTGAATTCCAAATGGAGCTAATTATACATTGACAAGCATAAAATTTAATAAGTCATTAGTGAATTATTTTGACTGACATTAGTGAATTCTCAAGCTACTTTAGTATATTCATGAGTGATATTGAAACTTTTCAAAGCTTAGTTTCTGAAATTATGGGAAACAATCTTTCCCAATTAGGGTTTCATATTTTCACAAGATACAATAGCAATATTCCCATACCACATTAGCATATTCATAAATAACCTTGCAACATTCCAAAAGTTTCTTTAATACTGGGAAAAAATCTATTCCCAAGTGTGGTCCATATTTTCTCAAGTCACAATAATAATTTCCCATTCTACGATAGTAATTTTAGTAGTCTTATGTTATCACAGCAGTTGCACTTGCATATAATTAAACCTGAAATAAACATCAGCGTTACATTACATTGATTTCAATACATATACACCATATTTGCATTCCTTTTTACATACAAAATATTCCATATACCTAAATGGTACTTGTGCAGTTTGCTTTCCAAAAAATAACGTAAATTGTAAACTTATTTACATGATTTGTCACTACCATAAGTATAAAAAATAAGATGTGTGTCTGTACAAAAAGTTATTCAACAGTAAAATACACTAAATAAATAAAAACCAAATACATTTCAATTTCAAACCAATTAATATGCATATAGTTTTCACCCCCTTTCGACCCCTACATCTATTCTTGGATTGGGTTTCCTACATCTATTCTTAGTATGCCCAGCTTAATTACATCTTGAGCAATGGTACACCTTCTTGTTTTGAAACTGTGACTCTCTTCGCTTGGTGTGTAGTCGTCCTGGGAGATGTGTAGTTAGTGGTGGTTCTAAAAAGGTATTGTTTTCATAATTTTCATAATGTATCTTGATCAACTGAGGCATATTAATGATTTCCACCGGAATCATTGTAAAGCTATAAATTTTTCTTGTGCATAGATGCTTTTGTAAATACAATTACGTCTTCAAATATCTGTCCAACAACCATAAATAAATTATTTCATTTTACTTAATTAACCTCAGGGAGTAGTGTAAGAGCATTTTGTATTGAACATGACAAAGAGGGTAATATACCTTCAAGCTCTTACCTAAAGGAAGATTTTGGCTGTGACCATGGTAAGAAATCTTTCATTTTCCATTCACAATTATTCACAAGTTAATACTTCTTTTGCTGAAGTAATTGCCATATAAGAAATAAACCTGAAACAACTAGGAATAATATATAAATTTATTACTTTACAACTATCCTTCCTGCAATCTCAACTATGATTACAGCAATTTAGCATCCATGTTACATTTTTCAACATTAGCATACTTTTCATCACTGAACAGAAAAAAATCAGCATTCACATTACAACTTTCTTTTATTTCACTTAATTTTTTTCAACACTATCTATGTCTTACTTCATAGCTATCCTTCTCGTAATCTCAATTATGATTACAACAATTTAGCATCTATGTTATATTTTTCAACATCGACATACTTTTCATCGCAGAATAGAAAAAAATCAATATCCACATTACATCTTTCTTTTTTTTCACTCAATTTTTTCAACACTATTTGTTACAGAAATCATTTATTGTGCGTGTATATGTATATAATCTATATAATTATCAACAAGATCTCTTTTTTTTTCTTAGCTATAGAAGAGAAACGATGTAAAATATCATTTACAAAGATACAAAAATTATCTTTCGCCCAAGAGAGAAAAGAAAATATAAAAGATAGAGAAGAGGAAAACTTTAAAACTTCAGATTTTTCACGTAAGGGAGGGAAGAAGATGAAAAAGAAGCAATAAATGTAATTAGTTATTACTGAGAGGGGAAGAAGATGATGACCCAAATAACGATCTACTTTACTCAAGACTATGATTTTTTGCTCAAATTTTTCACGCACATAAGAGTAGATTTTTCACACTTAAAACGAAATAAAGAATGCAAGGAAGAGTTGATCTCTTTTAGTATTTAGTGGAGGATAATTTTATAAAGTTAAGTATATTTTTTATTTTAATTAAAAATCATGATTCTTAATTGAAATTTTAATATTTTATAATTTTTAATTGAGATTAATATCCTTTGGTCCTTAATTATTATTTTTCAAAAAAAAAAAAAAAAAAAACAGGCAAGCAAGGTGAATGACCATATCTCGGGCTCGGGAGTCGGTAGCCGCCATCTCATTCCCAGATCTGAAACCTCAACTCAAGCATCAAATCGTCTCATCGGCCACCGCATCTTGACGTTGCTTGTCCACCGCAAAGCTCTTCCTCCTCCTCCTTCTCCTGCCCTCGGACGGCGAAGCTCTTCTTTCTCCTTCTCTTATCCGTCGCTCCAACGGCGAAGCTCGTGGACTCGCTGCTGCGGCTCGCCTTCTCCCTCTGCAACAGCGTCGTGAAGCTTCAAGCTCTCCGTCTCTCTCTCTCTCTCTCTCTCTCTCTATCTATCTATCTATCTGGTAACTTTGATTTATCTCTCTCCCTCTGCTTCATTTTTTATTTTTCTGGGCTTTTATTAAATTTGAGATGTTGATGGAGTTCAGCTTAGTTCTTTTGTTATCTCTCGTTCCTTAGTTAAGCTGCGTGTAGTTCTTTCTGCTTCTCAGCGCTTCCAACCTCTGATTTGATTCTGTCACCTTCTTGTTATGAAACTACACCCACACACACATGAAAAATGAAATATGAAAGATAAATTACATTATTTTTTATTTATATTTTAAGATACTTGATGGTGATTATATTCTGAAGCCTTCTATACAAATGCCACCTTGGCCATTCTGTTTCTGAAATCTGGAGCTGTGTCTCAGTGCGCGCTTCCCTTTCTTTCTCGCCGCCACCGTTTGCTGACCTTTTCTATCTGCTACTATATTCAATTCAATTCGCTTTTCTTTCTGCTTTTTTCTCTCTAATGTACCGGTTGCTGATGCTGATCTCCACCTTGGTTTTGTTTGACAGGAATTTTTTCTGCTATTTTTAGTTAGTCTTTTTTTTCCCCGCTCAAAGATGGTCGGCATCGTCTTTTTTAAATACAGAACAGTCTCTCGAAGCTCGCAGAGAAAGAAAGAATCTGTTTTAACTTCTTTATTCACACGGTGTTAGTCTTTGACTTTCGTCTTCTGTTTTCTTGGTTGTGTTTTTCTTTAAGTTATATCTTTGCTAACAAATTCATGTGGTTTTAAAAATGATAGATTACGTAATACTTTTGTTTCGTAACTTCTGTGATAGTACTGTTTATAATCAGTCTCATAATTTAGAGTCTGGTTAAGAGTGCAGGTTATAGACATGGTTGAACAGGGCAGCCAGAGGAATAGGCCAAATATACTGGTGACTGGTACACCGGGGACAGGAAAGACAACAATGTCCTCTGCTCTAGCTGAAGCAATCCAACTTCGCCATATCAATATTGGAGAATTGGTCAAAGAGAAGAATTTGCATGATGGATGGGATAATGAGCTTGATTGTTATATCATTAATGAAGACTTGGTGAGCTGCTATATGGATCAATGTTTAAGAAATACTTGTTTCTATTTCTTGTGTAATTGCCATCGTAGGTGTAAATGGATGAATTTTACCATGCTTCCTTGCAGACCTGAATTAGGCCCAAGATAAAATACACAAGACATCAAAAAGGCTAATGGTTCGATAGAGTTTGAATGGGTTTATCTGATTGTGTGTTTAGATAGTATAGTAATGAGTAGGATCATTAATGGTACACATCTGCATAAAAATATTATATCATGACAATACTTTTTCATGATGAAAGTTGAAGTAACTATTTAAAATATTTTTCAGTTTCCTTTTCTGACAACAAAGATGCGAGGTACACTTATTTGTTACGTAAGATGGTAGATACTTGGTAATGTTTTTTTGATTCAATTTTTTCTCTTTGTTATAATTGTTTTCCATGGTTGGGGGGTTTAAGGGAGTCCGTTGGTAAAAAGTGGCTTCCTTCAGTAGGGGGCTTTGAGGGTCCTTTGCCTGATTTGAATAGATGATTCTTATAACTACTTAGACAACATTGCATAAAGAATTTGCTTGACTAGCCAATCATCCCAATCCCAAAATATTTAAAAAAAAATTGTTTGGTTAACTAGATATTTTATTTTTTGGGCCTAAAACACTCTATAGTATACATTATTAAAAACTGTTGCATCCATTCTATGCAATGCTTTCTTATCCATTGAAGCATTTGGGCTAGGTGTGAGGGGCGAGAGAGGAAAGGGGTAAGGCATCGAGAATATATTGCAGATGGGGTCAGAAGGAGGGCAAGGAGGATTGGAGTACAGTGTGGGAGAGACTGAATCACACACTTTATGGGAGTCAGCCTTGGCCTACTAGTCATGGAAACATCATTCTCTAATGCCTCGAGAGTCATCCTCGTCTTACTACATCCCCCAGTTTTATCGTCCTAGGTAGTCAGCCTTGGCATGTTTACATGGCATCCATAACAGTGCCGAACTTCAGGTGTAATGGATAGTTAAAATAGCAAAACAAAAAATAGTATTTTGAATAAGTAAAAACCAATTTGTTGATTCAGTATTTCTTGGATTCTAGCCGACCCCACCTAGTGGGATAAAGGCTTGTTGTTGTTGTTGTTGTAGTATTTCTTGGATTCTAACAGACATATATTGGTTGGATTTTGTAGGTCTGTGATGAGCTTGAAGACATCATGGAAGGAGGAGGGAACATAGTGGACTACCATGGCTGTGATTTCTTTCCCGAGCGGTGGTTTGATTGTGTGGTGGTACTTCAAACAGATAACTCTGTGTTGTATGACCGCTTGAGCAAGAGGTAAATGGATGAAGTTGCGAATGATGATTATTTAACTTAATTATTTTTTCATCTCATGCAAATTACATACTATCTCAAAACTCTGTGACAGAGGGTACAGTGAGTCAAAGCTTTCCAACAATATCGAGTGCGAAATCTTTCAAGTTCTGCTTGAGGAAGCAAAAGAAAGTTACCCAGAGGACAGAGTTGTTGCATTAAGGAGTGATACTATTGAAGACATAAATAGAAATATTGCAACTCTAACAGAGTGGGTAAGAAACTGGCATCCCCGATCTTAGTTGCAGCGAACTCAATACAGCAAAAGCAGGACCTTGTAGATATTGTTTTGCTGTCTTCTTTGTACTGTTTTCCTCCTTTTGAGGTTTAGTTTCATATTAAAACTGGCCTTCTTCCTGCTGTTTTCCTCAGCATGGAGTTATCTTTTAAGTTTTTTCTATGCTAAAGTTCCAATAATTTAAGATGTTTGAACATGAGAACTTCCTCAGAAGCGAGCTTTCGTTCTGGTGTGGGGTGTAAGAAAAAGTGTTTTAGCGGTGAGTATGATGTCTATTTCCTTCCAGCTAAAGTGAGATCGTTTTGTAAGATTATTACAGAAAGAAGTCTATATAAAGTATGAGTTGCGTTTAATCAAATAGTTTTAAGTTATTTTGGTGAGGTAGGCAATCTTCAAGAATAATATAAAGTTTAGCATGGTATCATGAGCCTTTTAATCTGGAAGGCATAGGAGAAAAAGAAAAAGGGGACCAAAAAAGAGGAAACAAGGCCATGCCTTTATGTAGAGGTTTACTCACATCCTCAAATTCCAGTGAGAAGTACCCTTTTGCGTTCGTCCAACGCCTTTTTATATTGAGGTTTACTAATTATCATCTCATTTTAATGAGCATTGATTTTCCCAGTCTCCTCAGTTAATATATTATATTCATTTCATTTTTCTGTGCATCTAAAAGATCCAAATTGAACAAGTTAGATCCTTTACATAAAAAGAAAACTACTCCATGCACACTCTTTTGCTGATGTACATTCGCGCATCCTGTGTGATGAATATGTAACATTAAAGCATCAGAGAATCCAATTTGCAAAGAAAAGAGGCCAGCCTTGAAAATGGCATGCCATGTGCAAATGGGTGAATTGATCAACAATTTCAGGAAGAATTCGAATTCTACGGCAAAACCCCATCAATTTGGCGATGATTACATTGATTGATCACATTGGGTTACAGTAAAACTAAGCCTTATTGCAAATTTGGCAAAGCTATAATAAAGTACAGGACCTTCACTTTTTTTTTTTTTTTTGGTTCTTTTCCAGACTAGTCTATCAGCTTATGTACAGCATATCCTCCTCGAAGTCCAATGACCCAAAATCAAAGGTGGCATTCGGAAGCCTCAGAAACGTTGGGAGACTTGGCAATCAGCAGCCCTCGCAGCCCTCGCACAGGCAAGGTTTAAGCAATCCAAAACAATATTGAACAAACAAAAACAATCTTGCTCTTTGCGTTCAAATTAAAAAGCAGGCCGCTTCCTCTCCAACTCACTGTCACGTTAGGTTTCAATTCAAAACTGGGGACGCCATCAAAAACTCTGCCAAAAGGATTTTGTATCGCTCATAATTTAATTGACGTCCTCTTTCACAGTCTTCCTTTCTCTCGCTCGGAAGTCCTCTAAACTCCGGTATTCTTCTCTGAGCAATTTATCTAGCTCTGGGTGTTTGCTTAGCGGTTCTTTCTGGTCCCGCACTGCACGATAGTGGTGAAATGCCCTGCCATAACCAAAAGAAAATAAGTAGTTTCAAGAGTGATTGATAACGTAATATGGCCCCAAACAATCCGAGATCAGTTACAATTGTGCGGCAAAATTTTAAGACGAAAGAGTTGATTAATTACCAGTATTTTTCCAGGCCATACAGATTGCCCTTATGGTAAAAGTCCAGAGTCAACTGTTCAAAATCCTTGTATAGATCCTCTCTGAATTCCTTCTCCAAGCCATAACTGAAACAAAAATTGCTCAAAATCACGAGAGGAACAATGTGCACCAATTTTTCCCTTTCAAATTGCTCATTTTACAAGCAGTTTAATCAGTTTTCTACAAAAATTCATTGCATATTTGCAGACCTTTTGCACAGCTATTTCCTCATACATTTCCATTACGAGAGCCTAGTTCAGATGCAGTTTCCTCTTTTATAACTATAATGATGATGATGATGATGATGAACTCGAACATAAAACGTCAAAAATGTCAAATTAGTTTATTCAGATTGAGAGAACTAGAAAATAAAAGGTAAATGATGGTACTTACATAAATTTATCAAGCCAATAAAGACACATTTCGATACTATTACCTGTAGAATCTGAAAAGGCACTCTATCCCGTAATAATAATTAGCCAATGCGTCCTCCATTGCTAGTTTCTTAAATTCATCGTACATACAAGGAACAAACATGTCTCTGAGAAAGTATGACCAGAACCTGTATAGCGTATTCATTTCCTGCACAGACAAGCAAATCCTACTGAAATAAGTAATTATGCGATTGAAAGTAACGGTCAAGAGTCCAGAATATAAACATGCTAAACTTGTAAGTAACAGAAAGGGTGTTCAAGGAAAAAAGTTTAGTGTTACGGAGAAACAACCAGGATAATAAGACTTCATGAAAAACTCAACTAAAGATTGGCAATGCTAAGTCACGAATTAATTAACTAAGAACAGCAGCAATCTTTTGTTAAAAAAATGGAAAACAAAAGAAAATGTTTCAAAACTTACACGAACAATATTAACAATATGAATCAACCCTCCTACCACCAAGGCAAATATAATTAAAATCTATTAACTCCACCATTCGATCTTTAATCAGGTATTGTTTCAAAGGAGGTTAAGAGTTTTAGTCCACCTCACTGTAGCCAATTCCAAGTTTCTTTCTATCATTCAGGCACCGCTTATGATACTTGAGATACCTATAAGGAAGAACAGTCACATAAACGACATGACAATGCACTATAACATCCACTCTACAAGTCCTCATGCACAAGCAGTAGCACTATCACTTACTTCTGATGTTTGAAACCATTTTCTTCTAAAAGTTGGTGACTCGGATGCTGAAATGGTGGAAAAGACTTGGGCAAGGAACCTACAGGTGGGCTACTTCCAGAAAGACTTCCATGTGGTGAAACACTCAATTTGGAAGGTCTGGGGCTGCAAGATTGAGATAATTGTTGGAAAGTTTCATATTCATCAAACAGAACAATCAAACAATAAATATAACATTTCTTTTAGCATTTATGACATGCTCCTCATACCAATGATCGCTTCATGTTATTACTCAAATTGAGGCAACAAAAACCAACATTACACAGTAGAGCTTAGGGCACAGACAAATCCAAACTGACCCATGATTTTCAGGAGGCGTAGAAGCAAAGAAAAATCCAACTGAATTACTTGGTGGACTTTCAGATATGATTCCCAGAGAGTTACGACCAGTTCCATGATTTCTAAAATTGCTAGAGAAAAACCGCTGCTTATGGGAAGACTGCTGCTTGAGAGAGCCTTTTTGTTTCCTCCGTAGACTGGCGCTTCCAGACTCTTCTAGGGCATTGCTTCCACTGGTAGTTTCTCCCACCTTCATGGCAGACACTCCTGGAGTATTGCTTGTAGATTTTAACTTTCGATCCCTATTATCAAAATTATTCTTTCTACGATTTGACCGCTTATTTTTAAGTTCCTGTCAATAATTATGTGGGTAACATTAATTCAATGTTGAAGAGATGATGCCACCCTGGTAAAAGCAAGAAAGAAAGATAACTTTTTAACCTGTTCATAGAAGTAAAGACCATCATTTATTGCAGAAGCTAGTTCACTGGAAATGGATTTTGGTCCTTTGCCACCAACTTTAGATCCTCGTTTAATATCACTATTCTGTACATCAGAAATAGAAAATAAACAAATAATTCATTTGCGCAAGCTCAATAGAGGACCAAGAAAAATCATAATGCTATAGTTGTGCAGTTCCAGCCTCTTTATAGCCATTTAAGCACCCAAAATTTATTTAAGATTTCATCAATTCTGTTTAAAGTACCCACTTTATTCCTCCTACTTCTTGGAAACTAACGAGTCAAGGAAAAGGAGATGAAGCCAAGGGGCATAGAACTGGTTCAAAAGAATGCTTTTTTGCTTGTGTATATGAATATAATCTGAGCAGGTATTTATATCGGTTTACCTGCACATGCCAGCAAAATCCTTAATGATCAATCCCACTAAATTAGCCTCTAACCTGTCTAAATTAGCATTTGATCCTATTTATGATTCTTCATAGTATTACAATTAATACAGAATATCCTTCAAAAGAAATGGCATGTCAGAAGATTTACAAGAACTTGGAAAAGTGGAAGGGTGCATTCCTTGGGAAGCCGTGTCATGTCACCCTTATCCAGGCTAGTTTATCTGCATTTGTTTTTACTATCCTCTCTAGAGTCACTTTAATAGCTTAAGCTTTTGAGATGAAAGGGTGCTCAAAAAGGTTCTTGACATGTGTGTCAACGCCTATACATTTATAGTGGGATGAGAAAACGACCATGGCTTCTCTATGGAGCCTTTCTCACAGTTTATTTAGACAACTGTCTTTGCCAAATACAAGTGGCCTTGTAGCATTCATGACCTGCTGGTTAATGGATCTTGGCTGGGTTTTCTTGTGTTCTATAATGTTCTCTGCTCTTTTGAGGGGGACTTCCCATCATCCTTGTCTGTAATCTTCCTAATATAGCTTTTCTTCTCATAAAAAATAAACAAAAACCAGCTTTTTAGGGAAGAAAATGCATTTTTTTAAGGGTTAAAGGTCATTTTTACCCTTGAAGTATACGCAAAAGTACATAAATGACTTTAAACTCAACTATGGGTCATTTATATCCCTGAAAAAGATTTTGTTTTTTCAATCTACCATTTTCTCCATTCATTTTTCCATTAGTGGGCCCAGTTTTCAATTTTTTAATATTTTTTATTATAGAATATTACTTGTGGGCCCCATATTACTGTTTTTTTATATTTTTTTATCATCTCTCCTCTCCCTCTCAGATTTGTAACTCCCTATCTCACACTCTTCTTCTTGTCTCATACTCTTCGTCTCTCTCCCCCTCCTCTCTCCTCCACCATCGTAGCCATGAACTCTCCGTCTCACACTCTCTTCAGCATGGATGTTGAAGACCACAACATGTACCAACAGAGGCTGAAAGAAGCGCAGTGGAGCCAACTGAAGGGGTTGCCCATCTAATGATGACCACAACACGATGTTGAAGACCATAGCTAGAACAAGGCTTTTCGAGCTTCACTATAAAACTATCATACCTCAAGAAAAACTCCACCTTCTAGTAAAAGAAAAAGAAAAAAAGAACTCCACCAAAAACGCTCATAGAACAAAGTTCACCAGATTCTTCACTGCATACTGCT